TCAATTGTCATTTCCGAGTCTCGCCACCATGCCTTGGCGTCTCCTTTCAGGTTGACAACGGTATATCGGACCCAACGGGAGTGGTTAAGCTCCATGATCTCGAAGTACTCTTCTTGGTTCTCCAAGAAGTTGAGGACCGCGACAGCGTCGACATTTCCCTCGTATGGTTCTGGTTTGGTAGGTTTTATCACAGCAGCCACCGTGCGGACATGGTCATTAAAGGCGGCAGCGCTAGAAGCACTATCCTGTCGGGATTCGAGGAAGGTTTGCACAGCGTTCTGCACGGATAGGCTGGTACTGGCATCAAGGTTAAGAGCTTTCAAGGAAGTGGTGAGGTTGTCCATGGCAAAAAAAAAAAAAAAAAAAAATCAAATGCAGGGGTAAATTTTTAAATTTTATCTAGGAAAATATCAGAGGGATCTAGGGAAAAATATCAGAGGGAAATATAAGCGGTTTCTGGCGGGGTCGGTGGTTCGATGAACCATTGCTACCATGTAAATAGTAACAATCAAAGGTGATCTTAGGTGGAATCGAAGGTCAAAGGATACTTTATTTGGCTATAACGTAGTGGACTATTTATACTGATAATTAATAGGGTTGGGGCTTGGTGTCTTGGCACTTGGGCTTGGCGTCTTGGCGCCTGGGGTGCGCGTGATAGTTGAGCCCTCCTCAAAGGTTTGAGTCAGTATTGTATAACACGTTTGCACCTGACAACGATATGGATATGGAGAGCGTGATGAGCGGCAGCGTGATGAATGAGAGCTTAGTGACGAGGAGCGTGGGAAGCTCCAGCGTGGCAAGCAGCACGGCGATCAACCGAAGCTGGGCGTGGTCACTGAAGAACAAGTGGGCCGAGCGTGTTAAAACTAAGAGTGGCTCTGGTATGCGCTGCTGTTACCCTAGCTGCGGGAAAACCTTTGGTTCATCGAATATGTCAACTTCAGGGGTCATCCAGCATCTGTGGCGAGTACATCGCATCACTAAAGATAGCAATGCCAATGATGGCAGTCTCTCCAAGCAAGGCCCGATGGACAAGATGCTTAATTCATTTTCTCAGCCAAAAGTATTTGACCCTACGAGATTTGACGAATTGCTTGTCCGATTCGTTATCACAACAAAGCAGCCATTTACGATTGTCAAAAGCACTGCTCTCCAGGAGCTTCTAGTCCATGCTACAATGGCTACAGCATCTCAAGTAAAGCTACCGTCTGATGACACCATGGCAACCAAGGTAAAACTATTATTACTATGATTATGATTATTATTATTATTATTACTCTTCAATTATTATTTTTTTTTTACAACAAACATCAACCAAACACTGACAAAAAGATGGATTAAAAATAGGCTAAGCTAAAATACCAATACATGGAGCATCAAGTCATAAGCTTATTTGAGGATATTAACAAGGTATCACTGACCGTTGATGGCTGGACAAGCCCTTTCCAAGACAACTTCCTGGGGGTAACAGCTCACTGGATTGATCATGACTGGCGCCAACAAGAGCTGGTCATTGGATTTGAGCCATTGTATGGAGCGCATACAGGTGAGAACTTAGCGGAATCTCTGGCTAAGGTCATCGATCGATTTAAAATTGGTGACAAGCTTCTAAGTATCACCACCGACAATGCGTCAAATATGTCCAAAATGATCCGAGAGCTTGAAAAGCATCCCAAGGCAGTAGAATGGTAATTCTCAGTCACTTTCAATAATGCTAGCGCATCTAGTAATGAGTTATCTCTAACGTTCTTTTAAAAAAAATAAAAATAAATAAAAATAAAAAACATTAGGTCGCTCAAGGATGGCTTATACCATGTGCCATGTCTTGGACACATCATTAATCTGGCAGTTCAGGCGATTTTGGGTCCAAGTGGTTTGAATGACTTGGCTCCTGAAAATGACAGTCTCTACGTGAACAACAATGAGTGTGAGGATGCGGTTGGGTTAACGCTTGTAACGCTGAGTACATTACAGAAACTCAGAAAAGGCATTGTTAAGATCAGGTCAGTATTACTATATAATCTTGACTGCAAATATAAACTTGAATCATGAAACCTAACTATAAAATACCTTTTATATCGACTTATACATAGAGCTTCGCCACAAAGAATTGACAAGTTTGGCCAGGTCTGCGCTATCCTGAAATGCCCAAACCTTGAACTGAAAAGGGATAACTGCACACGTTGGAACTCTACTTTCATCATGGTGGATAGGGCAATAACGTTAAGGCTAGCCTACCAGAGCATGTGCCAGAACAAACCGTTTTTATCGGCCTTCTCCCTGAAAGACGAAGAATGGGGATACCTGAAGAAGCTCCATATTTTGCTTAGCCAGTTTAATGATATCACAGCGACGGTGTCTTCTAGCCTGGGATACCCGACAATCAACAGAGCCATGTCTGCTTACAAACAACATGATCGACCACCTAGAAGATTATATTGAAAAAGAAGAGGATCCTCCACTAAAAAACGCAGCAGGTCAAGGGTTAAAGAAGCTTTTGCGTTATTATTCTAAAACTGATTCCTCAGCGGTCTATGCCGTCGCCACTGCTATGGACCCGAGGATGCGGTTTGACTGGTGGGAAGCTAACGAATGGGGTGAATATATTCAAAGCAGCCAAGACATGGTAACGAAGGTCTGGGAAGATGAATATAAGGGCAAAGAAGGCCCAAGTCAGCTCCCAGCTGAAGAAGAAATGGAGATGAGACGCTATGGTATCAAGAAAAAAGGTGGAGAGCTTGAATTATACGTTTGAGAAGGAAGTTCTCTAGTTGCTAGTAAACATGAGCCTCCAGAGTTAGTGTACTGGCGATCACAAAAGGAGCGCTTGCCCAATTTGGCGAATATGGCAAAGGACTATCTTGCAGTCCCTGTGACATCAACCCCGGCAGAAAGATGCTTTTCGCAAGCCAAGTTCTTCCTGCCACCTGAAAGAAATAGCCTTAGCCCTACGACGATCCAGCGCTTGGTCATCCTGGACTCTTGGATGAATGCTCCCATAAATTAGTTGCTATAGTTCTGTATACATTCGTTATACACTATCATGCAAAACTGATTCAATAATTCTTCCCATGTGCATTTCTTTTTTTCATTCCTAGAAACCGTATATGCATACACCACTCATACTTTGGTTTAATAAAGCTCCCGTCTTCTTCTACGTCATAGTGATGCGTTGTGACATTAGCTTGTCTCATTTGAATAGCTAATGACTTTTTTGTTCATGCAGGTCATTGAATCAGTTTCACATGTGGTCTAAAATGTTGCCATGACAACTTTTGGACGTCATTTAATGCCAGTAAAAAAAGGACTTTTCTCTCTTTCCTTTATGAACACTTGCTTAACTCTCTCTTAACTATACCTTCACAGAATATGAGACCCACTCCACAAAGGAAAGTCAACGAAGCCAGGGGTTAATGATGGGAGGCATGTCTACTAGAGAAACTGCTGCTAGTGTTGGTATATCAAAGCGACGGCCACCGGATCTATGCACATAATAAGGAGTACATGCCAGTCATAAAGGCGGTCGACCAAGGAAAGTACCTAGAGGTATCATGCAGTATCTTAAGGTGAACATGAAACGAGGTACACTCAAGTCTGCAGTTGAGGCCACCGTCAGAGCCAACCAGCTCATACCAGCGGCTGTTCTGAGACCACCGTTAGACGACGGCTCAAGGAGTTAGGATTGACAGCAAAGAGGCGTGTACATAAGCCAGCTTTACGTCGACGGCATATTAAAGCTCGTTTGCATTTTATCAATTAGTATAAGGAATTGACTCTGGAAGATTGGAAAAAGGTTATTTGGTCAGATGAATCGAAAATAAACCGAATCTGCTCTGATGGCGTGCAGTGGATCTGGGACACACTCCGGGACGCCTCACTCGCAGGTCGGTGCAAGGCACTGTCAAGTTTGGGAGTGGTAACGTTAAAGTGTGGTCATGCTTCTCATGGTACGGACCTGGATACATTGCAAAGATTGACAATAATATGGGCGCACAACTTTACATCAAACTACTCCAGGAGGATCTACAGATGTCGCTTGATGACTGGGGCCTAACTAAAAGCGATATCGTTTTTCAGCACGACAATGACTCAAGCACACGGCGAAGATTGTTACGAAGTATTTGGAGTCAGTACATCTGACAGAAGAGGAAGGTACACTTCTAGAGTGGCCAGCACAATCCCCTTACCTCAACCCTATTGAACACATGTGGGCAGAATTGGATAGGCGGCTCTCTAGGTATCCGGAGCGAGCTAAGAGCTGTGATGAACTATGGGAGCGAATATCGGTTGAATGGTACAGGATCCCAGTGGACTTCTGCCGAAACTCATCATAGGTATCCATAAGAGACTGCAAGCTGTCAGTGATGCCCATGGTTGGAATACTATCTATTGATGTAAGGTTATGGCTCACAAAAGAATAAAGATCTTTGGCCACCGAATGGCACATGTGAACTGATTCAATGACCTGCATGAACAAAAAAGCCATTAGCTATTCAAATGAGACAAGCTAATGTCACAACGCATCACTATGACGTAGAAGAAGACGGGAGCTTTATTAAACCAAAGTATGAGTGGTGTATGCATATACGGTTTCTAGGAATGAAAAAAAGAAATGCACATGGGAATGAATTATTGAATCAGTTTTGCATGATAGTGTAAGTGATAAGTCAAAACTTAAATATATTTCCAACATTTGAACGTTAGTCGAATGTACGTGGCGCACAAATTGTGTAAGCCCATTCTAACCTGTCAAGTTTTTTATTCCAAAAAGCCGATATAGTCGTATTAAATAGTGCATAGATACATTCGATGCGCTTAAAAAATCGGCTTCGATGCATTCGGTAAATCGGTTTCGATACATTCGGTAAACGGTTTCGATACATTCGGTAAACGGTTTCGATATAATCATACGACCCATGCTACACATTAGGGGTATCATTCAACACATTCGATTCATTCGATTCGATACAGGAATGGAGCATTCAATTTCGGTACAAACTTTACCCTGAGCCGAAACCGAATCGAATGCATTCAATCCCATTCAATTTCGGTTGTATCGAATCGATTAGGAGCACTGAGTTGAGATACTGAAAATCATTAGGATCACCGAGGACATGGCCTGTATGCTTATAGTAATACGTGATACGGAGTTGCTTCTTTCCCTCCTTCATTGCTAATTCGGGATCCCCACTATCGTCTTTCATGTTGTGGACTAGAAGCTTGGCTCTACATCCGACTTTTTGGCTCTTCTTAAAGACGCGCCTCCTTTTCTTTTGCCTTTGTTCCTGCCCAGGGTCTTGAGGGGAATCTTGAGAGGAGTCTTGAGGGGAGTCTTGATGAGCGGTTTGAACGCGATTTTGGCCTCGCGAGTCATGGTTAGGGTGGCATTCGTAGGTTTGAAAATAAAAGTATTTGCTTCTGCCATCTGCCTTATTATCTCGATGTACACGGCGCATCCAAACAAAATAAAGATCGCGACTATTCCTGTTCAAGCCAAGCGCTGAAGTCCTCCTCGTTCACGTAAAAAATACGGGGCAGATAGTCATACGGTTCTGTACGGGAGTCGTTACAATGTCTTTGATCGTTTTCATCATCGAGAGTCGACTTAATCCATTGGTAATCATGCACCTCCGAGCACAAATCTCAGTTGCTATTTCATTGGCCTTCGCAATGACACTCTCGTCTAGTTCTGGACTCTCTGAGCCACCCGGCATAAGTGAGCTTTCCCCGGTACCAAAATCCGCAGAAGGATGGATGCTAATGGCTTCAACAGGAGCTGCAGATGATTCAGGCTCTATTTCTGGGTCGGAATCCGAAGCCCCACTCGAATAGTCATTGTAGTCAACGTTCCACGAGTCCCGGTCAGAGTCTGATTCCTCGCTCCCATGCTCACAGTCAGAATCGAATTCTTCTAGATCATCAGCGCGATCTATTTCATCTACATCATCAACGACTATCCTCAATAACTTCTGCACTCTACACAGAAAGCAAGGTCAAGGAGAACCGAGAGTGATTAATATATGTGCAAATATATATTATTGATAAGGTAACATTGCCTCCGCACCATAATGCTTGTTCGATGAAATGATCTAAATAATACACATGTTGATTTACATTCAGAGTTCATTCAACATTCGACGCGTAATGGCAACAGTTGCGAGCTGAATATTATCAACGATTTTTACCTGGAGAGACAGAGGTGTATAAGAAGAATTGATTATCAAGATCGCATTTCTGCGTGAAAAAAAAAAAAAAAAAAAAAAAAAAAAAAAAGTATGACGTATTAGAATCGCCTTTATTATCACCCTTAATGGTACCACATCTAAGGGAATTCGATATTTATTCGAATTAAGCAAATTAAATTTCAGAGGCGGAAGTTTATTACCTCTTCTCGCAGGTCTAAGGGACTCCAATAAGACTGCGAAATTTTTTGGAGTGTCATGCAGAAAATCGTTTTTCAATGAATGTTATCGATTTTTTGTTGGCCGGTTCAATGTAGCCTGATACAAGAAGCTGTGCAAGCTCTTTTTGATTCCTGTTAAGCTCTTCATTCCCGATTATGGGAATTGTTTGCTCTCCATTGATTCAGTGTTGATGCTGCTCAAAATTTCTGAAATTTGACTTGGTTTCTTACATAACGCAGAGATTCCTGTAGACAGAGTGCTCCAATTTCGCAAATTCCTTCTTCGATAATACACTGACTGCAATCTGGTTGAACAAATGCGCTGCGGCCCGTCTGCTCCTTTTCTGAGCTGTAGTTACTCACAAGAGTGAAGATGCTGTAGGGCTGCATTAAGTGACTTGGAGTTAATGGGCCCCATGCTCGACAAAGGAGGTATGATTGTAGCTTGTCAATTTGCTTCGAATTTGACGGATTTGCTCCACTTTATTTTCATGCTCGCTATACCAAACGTCCTTGTCACTTGCAATCTCCATTGCTCTATCGATGGATTCCTGTCAAGATAAATCCTTGTGTTGAATGAGTCCTTTCATCTTCAATCAAGAAGAAAGAGTTTTGCCGCCTACGGATGGTTTCTCTTTTCGGTCAATGCGGATTGATTGATGTGACAAGGGCGTTCATTGTGTGAGTTCCGATTACTAACCTCTCACCATCGTTTGAATGCATTGTTGTTGGATACACGCCCACATATCGGTGCTCGTGACTTCCTGGAGTTGATGTTTTAGTGGCGATCCCTTTGGAGACTGGAACGGTTCACACATGAACATCGATATGCTTCTTTCGTCCATACACTTCGATGCAATTTATTAAGAGGGCATGGGAATTGCTTGCTGTGGTTTTCACTAGTATGCATCCTGCAAGGATCTTGGCACATGCACATCTCCGTGCTGTACTCTCTAGAGCCCAGTCTTCATTTAGAAATTGGCTTACTTTCTTGTCCAGCTCACGTACTTCCTCTGTTCAAGAATTGAAGCGTATGGTGAACTCTGAAATACTTCTTTCAAATCTGGTGCTTGAGAAGGTTGGCATTTGGAACATTGCACATCGGCAGTAATATTGTCGGGCAATGCTCTTTCGGTGGTGATAGAAAGGGCCCATTGGAAGAAAGTCGCTCCAGTTTCTTCACATGTGCAAGAAGAACCTCTTCATCCCCTTGATTGTTTTTTACAACGATGGGAACTGCCTCTAATAATCAACAAAGAGCAATGCTTTTTTTTTTTCAGTTTGCGAGCCATGACTTTGCTCTGATGCTTCCAAAGCTAGCTCCCTGAAGGAACGTTTTTTTTGGTCGGTTGTTGCTGTAGACGAGTTCTCCCAATGAGAGCTGGATGTAGCAGGCGAAGAAAGTTGAAGCCGAACTTAGTGGATTGGTTGAAGGAGTAGTGAGACTCTTGATTTCTTGTTGGTTCAAGACGATTCTTTCAAGTTGTGCTTGGCTTTGCTCCTCGATGCCCCCATTTGCTGAAACGTTTGGGTAATCATGCAAAGATGCTGGGTCAGGACCGTTGATGACGCCTTCCTTTGCTGTAGCATTTGGGTGATCATGCAAAGATGTTTGATCAGGAGCGTTATTGATGATTTTCAATGGTATTAGTTCACAGTTTTTGGAAATGTGCTCCTTGATTCCTTTCCTCGTTTTAATTGCCTTTTTGCAAAAAGGGCAAGAAAATACCATTCAACGGGACACGTGCAAGCTTTCGTTGATGCCATAAGAAATTGGAAAGTGTAATGTTAATACTCTCCTTGTGATAGTCGTCATTGTGTCTCTTTAGATGTATTCTTTTTTCGAAGACCTTTGGGCAAATTGAACAGTTCCAGGAACGTGAGTGGGTTTCGCGTTGATCCATGTTTCATGTAGCGGTTACTCTTTTCGAACTAAAACAAAGGAAGAATGGGTTAGTGGAAGCAAAGCAGCGGCAAATGAAAAAAAATAGGGCGCATAGTGAAAATTAAACAGCACAAAAAAAAAAAAATAGGGCGGATAGTGGAAATTAAACAGCACAAAAAAAAAAAAATAAGGCGGATAGTGGAAATTAAACAGCACAAAAAAAAAATAGGGCGGATAGTGGAAATTAAACAGCACAAAAAAAAAAATAAGGCGGATAGTGGAAATTAAACAGCAAAAAAAAAAATAAGGCGGATAGTGGCATCAGCACAAAAAAAAAAATAGGGCGCATAGTGAAATTAAACAGCACAAAAAAAAAAAATAGGGCGGATAGTGGAAATTAAACAGCACAAAAAAAAAATAAGCGGATAGTGGAAATTAAAACAGCACAAAAAAAAAAAATAAGGCGGATAGTGGAAATTAAACAGCACAAAAAAAAAATAAGGCGGATAGTGGAAATTAAACAGCACAAAAAAAAAAATAAGGCGGATAGTGGCATCAGCACAAAAAAAAAAATAGGGCGCATTGTGAAATTAAACAGCACAAAAAAAAAAATAGGGCGGATAGTGGAAATTAAACAGCACAAAAAAAAAAATAAGGCGGATAGTGGAAATTAAACAGCACAAAAAAAAAAATAAGGCGGATAGTGGCATCAGCACAAAAAAAAAAAATAGGGCGCATTGTGAAAATTAAACAGCACAAAAAAAAAAATAGGGCGGATAGTGGAAATTAAACAGCACAAAAAAAAAAATAAGGCGGATAGTGGAAATTAAACAGCACAAAAAAAAAAAATAAGGCGGATAGTGGAAATTAAACAGCACAAAAAAAAAAAAATAAGGCGGATAGTGGAAATTAAACAGCACAAAAAAAAAAATAGGGCGGATAGTGGAAATTAAACAGCACAAAAAAAAAAATAGGGCGGATAGTGGAATTAAACAGCACAAAAAAAAAAATAAGGCGGATAGTGGAAATTAAACAGCACAAAAAAAAAAAATAAGGCGGATAGTGGAAATTAAACAGCACAAAAAAAAAAATAGGGCGGATAGTGGAAATTAAACAGCACAAAAAAAAAATAGGGCGGATAGTGGAAATTAAACAGCACAAAAAAAAAATAAGGCGGATAGTGGAAATTAAACAGCACAAAAAAAAAAAATAAGGCGGATAGTGGCATCAGCACAAAAAAAAAAATAGGGCGCATAGTGAAAATTAAACAGCACAAAAAAAAAAAATAGGGCGGATAGTGGAAATTAAACAGCACAAAAAAAAAAATAAGGCGGATAGTGGAAATTAAACAGCACAAAAAAAAAAAAATAAGGCGGATAGTGGAAATTAAACAGCACAAAAAAAAAAAAATAAGGCGGATAGTGGAAATTAAACAGCACAAAAAAAAAAATAAGGCGGATAGTGGAAATTAAACAGCACAAAAAAAAAAATAAGGCGGATAGTGGCATCAGCACAAAAAAAAAAATAGGGCGCATAGTGAAAATTAAACAGCACAAAAAAAAAAAATAGGGCGGATAGTGGAAATTAAACAGCACAAAAAAAAAAAAATAGGGCGGATAGTGGAAATTAAACAGCACAAAAAAAAAAAAATAAGGCGGATAGTGGAAATTAAACAGCACAAAAAAAAAAAATAGGGCGGATAGTGGAAATTAAACAGCACAAAAAAAAAAAATAGGGCGGATAGTGGAATCAGCACAAAAAAAAAAAAATAGGGGCGGATAGTGGAAATTAAACAGCACAAAAAAAAAAAATAGGGCGGATAGTGGAAATTAAACAGCACAAAAAAAAAAATAGGGCGGATAGTGGAAATTAAACAGCACAAAAAAAAAAAATAAGGCGGATAGTGGAAATTAAACAGCACAAAAAAAAAAATAGGGCGGATAGTGGAAATTAAACAGCACAAAAAAAAAAAATAAGGCGGATAGTGGAAATTAAACAGCACAAAAAAAAAAAATAGGGCGGATAGTGGAATCAGCACAAAAAAAAAAAAATAGGGCGGATAGTGGAAATTAAACAGCACAAAAAAAAAAAAAATAGGGCGGATAGTGGAAATTAAACAGCACAAAAAAAAAAAATAGGGCGGATAGTGGAAATTAAACAGCACAAAAAAAAAATAGGGCGGATAGTGGAAATTAAACAGCACAAAAAAAAAAAATAGGGCGGATAGTGGAAATTAAACAGCACAAAAAAAAAAAAATAAGGCGGATAGTGGAAATTAAACAGCACAAAAAAAAAAAATAGGGCGGATAGTGGAAATTAAACAGCACAAAAAAAAAAATAAGGCGGATAGTGGAAATTAAACAGCACAAAAAAAAAAATAAGGCGGATAGTGGAAATTAAACAGCACAAAAAAAAAAATAGGGCGGATAGTGAAATTTAAACAGCACAAAGAAGAGCTGCTAATGTCAAGGTGCTCGAGGGGAATCTAAGGGTACTAAAAAGGTGTCTTTATTCAAGCGAATTGTGCTGCTGAACTAGATGGAAAAGTGGGCCTATTTATTGCAGCTAATTTCCTGCTGCAAGGAATTCTCCAGAAAATTAGAGGAAATACTGTTGCACAAAATTTGTGATGTAATTTCGCTTGCAAGGAACTTTTTTTGCAACTTCGAAAAAGGGGTGTTAAAATAATACTGTGTCTGGTGGGAAAAGTGTTTTTTTGGTGATTATGAAACTGTTCAGGTCAAACAAGTTGCTGGAGAGCAAAGGGAAAAACAGAAGTTGAACGAGAGGACGTCCAATGATGTAAGGGAAAAAAGCGGTGGAGCAATAAAGAAAAGCGTTGAAAAAAAGAAAAAAGAAGGGTGTACCAGAAGAATAAAACGATGCTGTCAAGACTGACAATGAAAAACAATGAAGAGACAAAGACGTAATATTTTGGAAAGAGGGAAAGAAAGATGCGGAGAAGGAAAAGAAGAAAGAGGGTGGAAGGCATTGAGAACAAAGAAAAACAAAACATCGTGTGAAACAAAAAATAAAAAAAAAAAAAAAAAAAAAAAAAAAAAGAAAAGAAAATGCCCCTGAAAATGGTCTGAACTGCAGTGAAGTTAATCGAGTGCAAAAAAATGAAGAAAAGAGCGGGTTCGAGATTAAAATAAATAACAGCAAAGGACAGGGCAAAAAAATACAGCAATGGACGGGGCAAAAATTTGAAGAGGATGTGGCAAGGAGCTTTGCAACATGGAATTCACATGCAAAAAAATAAAAAAGAAATCGAAATAAATGAAAGGGTGAAGTTGAACAGAAATGGAAAAAGTAACAAACGGTGGGTAATTTGTTCAAATTAAAAAAATTTTGGTGCTTATCCCCATCCCGTCCACGGCAACGCACAGTGTCAACTCTTTTACATACCCAGGGAGATTCAAAGCTTCTCTCGGTGTTAATTAGGCAAGAAGGACAAGAAAACTTACAGAAAATGAGCCGCAGCAGCACTGGAAAGCAGGGAGGGAAAATAAGATGAAAGAGTAAGAAGAGAATAAGCTGATGAAAGAAGGCGACGAATGAGAATATGAATGTGAATGTGAGTGCGAATGTGAATGTAAATGCGAATGTGAATGTCAATGGTCAATGTCAATGTGAATGTGTGTGGAAGAGCAGAGGAAGACAAAGGCAGAAAATGAAAAATGATGGAGGACAAGGAAGAATAAAATATCGTGAGAAAAAAAGAAAAAAAAGGCCCCTGAAAAATGGTCTCTGCGGGATGACGTAGAGGGCATGTTTCCTTATTTTAGTGTGACTATATGAGTACGTAAGCGTGGACTGACAGCGCCAGGCTCTGAATAGGTGCATGTAGGGGACGTAGGATGGTTGCACTTGGAAGAAGCTCTGCTACCATAAAAAAATATATTTTTCTTTCGACCGGTCAAGTTGAAGGACTATAAATCCTCAAATACTGGCTCCTAGGACCTGGTTCCTACATCAATCGATAGGGAATGCTCGGCTATATCAGCATACTAAATTTTGAAAAATTTGGCAAAATCCCCATTGCACCCACCCTAAATGCAGATTCTGAACATTGCACTTACCACAGCACGTGGACACGAAAATTTTCTCTCGATCAGTCACTTTGGAGACCCATAACCTCCCAAATACTGGGACCAGAGACCTGGGGCCTAGATTACTCGAAAGAGGATATTCTGGGCCATATTGCAGCTTAGTGTTCAGTCACGTGCTATTATGATAAAATATTTTCTTACTCTCGACCGGGAACTTTAAACGTCCATAGCTCCTCAAATACTGGGATCTGTTACTCAGGGCTACCGATCCACAAAATTTCGCAAAATCCGGCACAACACCCCCCTTTATTGTCCGAATTCCCTGGGTTAAGGGGGGTGATAAAAGCGATTCTAATACGTCAATCTTTTTTTTTTTTATGCGTTTGCACTTCTCCCCTCCACTCCCATATTCACTTTTCGCTATACACAATTGTAAGCGCATCTTGCCGTCGCCGCGTTGAATGTTGAATGAATCACTGAATTTTGAATGTAGGTTAACAAGTGTATTTTATTTCAGCATTCAATTAGATCATTTCAAGCACATTAATAGAACATCTTCGAACAAACACCATGGTATGTTGACAATGTTATTTTTCTGTCAATAATAAATGCTCACACAGCTTATTTATTTTATCTCAATTTCTCGTTACTATGTTCTTTGTAGAGCTCAGAATATGCTACCTTTAGCTTATTGGATGATGAATTAAACGAAATACATAGTGCTGATGACCTAGAAGAGCTTGCCTCTGACGTTGATTGTCTGAGTGAGGAGCCGGATTCTGACTGTAATGACTATTCGAGCGATGCGTCGGATTCCGGGTCGGAGACAGAGCATGAAACACCTGCAGCACTTGGTGAGGCTAGTAGCATCCATCCTTTAGCAAATCCTGATATCGCGGAAAGCCCACTCGTACCAGATGGCTTAGAGAGTCCAGAGCTAAACAGGGGGGTCGATGCAAATGTCAATAAAATAACAACCGAACTTTTATCCCCTCAATTGCAAGACTATCAATGGATCAAGTCAACTGTTGATGATGCCGTGATAGATGAGATTGTAAGGAAAACCTGCACCACTCAGTACGACTACAAGCCTCGTGTTTTTTACGTAGACAAGGAGGACTTCGACTCATGGCTCGAACGAGACGGTCGTGATCATTTTTTTACTTGGATGTTACGCAAACATCAAGATAATCAGCCAGGCGGTAGAAGCAAGGTCTTTTATGTTGAAACCTACGAATGCCATCGTGGACAAGATTCACGAGGCGGAAGTCGCATCCAAAAGGCTTCTCAAGGCTCTCTTCAAGGTGTCTCTCTCGACCCAGGGCAAGAACCAAGGGAAAGAAAAGAAGACGCGTCTTAAAGCCTAGCCAGAAAGTCGGTTGTACAGCAAAGCTCACAGTTCACAACATGAAAGACGACAGCGAGGATCCCGAATATGCAACCAAGAACGGAAGGAAGCAACTCCGAATCGTGTACTTTTATAGACACACAGGGCACGTTCTAGGCAATGCTGATGATTTCCAGTACTTTACCATGACGGAATCAACATGAGCGCGGATTAGAAACCTGGTTCGTCTTGGCCTGTGCACTAGAGGATGCAAGCGAAATCACTATAATAATTTTGTGCAACATAGTATTTCGCCCATATTTCTAGAGCATTCCTTGCAACAGGATATTAACTAGTATAAATAGGTCTACTTTTCTATCTAGTTCTGTAGCATAGTTCCCCCTGAATAAAGATACCTTTATTGCACCCTTAGATCCCCCTAGAACACTACCTTGACTTTTGCATTACTCTCTTTTATTCCGAGCTCCCCGTTGGCGAGTTCCATGAAGTTGCAGGTGACGTCCTTGGTATTCTCCTCATTAGGCCTAGAAAGAGCATCGGCAACAGGATTATCCTTGCCCGGACGATAGATGATAACATGATCTTGTTGCTCCATGTGTTGGCTCCATCCCGCCATGCGTCTGCTCATGCCTTTTTTGTCGTTTTAAGAACACCAAACTGTGATTGTCGGTCAAGATGTTGACTGTTCTGCCCTGGATATAAGTACGCCATTCGTCGCAAGCGCGCACAATTGCATACAATTCGCGCTCATGTGTTGGCCATTTCTGCTGACCCTCATCTAATTTCCTCGACATGAAAGCGATAGGGTGCATTTCCTTCCGGCCGTTTGAACCAAAGTCCTGACTCAGGACGGCACCAATGGCAGTGAGGGACGCATCAGTCTCGATGAAAAAGGGGTGAGAAAAATCGGCAAGGCGTAGAACGGGAGCTGAGGCGAGGGCTTGCTTGAGGTCGTCGAAGGCAGCTTGTTCTCTCTCGCCCCACGGCGAGGGGAGAGGTCTGGTCTTGATTTTGTTGTTGTCTTTTTCTTTTGTGAGATCTGTGAGGGGAGCGGCCCGAGAGGCATAATTTTTAATAAATTTGCGGTAGTAGCCAGCCATACCTAAAAATCGACGAACCTCTTGAACATTGGTGGGCGCCGTCAATGATTGGATGCTTTCTGTCTTTGAGGGGTTGACTTTCAAGCCTTCACCGCTCACAACGTGGCCTAAGAAGAGGAGTTCAGGCTTGCCGAATTCGCATTTGGACATCTTGACCTTAAGTTGATATTTCGCCAGACGTTCAAGTACCCAACGCAAATGTTCCTTATGGTCCTCAGGGTTGCGACTGAATACTAGGATATCATCCATGAAGACTAAACAAAATTTATCTAGACCGCCTTGCAGAACTTCATTCATCATCCCCTGGAAGGACGCAGGTGCGTTAGTCAAACCAAAAGGCATCACCAAATATTCAAAGTGACCATAGCGGGTACCAAAAGCGGTCTTTTCCACGTCGCTGGGGTTAACTCGAATCTGATTGAAGCCTGATTGCAAATCGAGTTTAGAAAACTCGGTTGCACCTGAGAGTCGGTCGAAGAATTCATCAATGAGTGGCAGAGGGTACTTATTCTTGACGGTAATTGCATTGAGCGCGCGGTAGTCTACACACAGACGGAGGCTTCCGTCTTTCTTCCTAGCGAATACAACGGGCGCTGACCAAGGGGAAATACTGGGCCGAATGAAGCCTTTCTTCTGCAGCTCTTCTAATTGCTCCTTTAATGCATCCAGTTCCTCAGGCGACATCCTCCGCACCGGCATGGCGATAGGGAGGGCCGAGCCAGTCTCGATGCGATGATCAACGTGACGGTGTGGGGGAAGTTTGTTCAAGTCGGCGAAGACGGAGTCTGCGAATTCCTCTATCAGCGCGCGGTATCTCTCTGGGACCTTTTCTGCTCCCTCACCGACGGCGTCAACGGAATTGACCACTAACTCTACTTCGTCCCCACTGATAAAGCAAACTCCATAATCCTCTGTAGTATTCAGGATCTTCTTGAAATGCTTCACTCCGACGAGGCGAACGTCTGTACGGTTCTTGGCCTCATGCTCTGCAGAGGTTGAGATCAGATGATCTTTTTCTTTTTCTGTAGATTCCCCATTTTTTGTCTCCTCATTTGCTTTCACCATTTCTACTTGCTCCATTCCATCGCTCTTCACATTTCCCATTGTTGCTTCCTCGCCCTCTCTTACTGTCGTATTCCACAGTTCGTCTGTGCCTGCCACTGTCTCTGCGACACTTTCTATGACGTCTCCTTCCATTGTCCTTTCTGCAGTTTCCTTAACGCTCTTATTGTCGCTCGCCCCGGTAGATTCAATATTTGAAGCCAGCTGGCCATTATTTTCCTCCCTTACGCTGCGTATCGCCTGCCAACCTTTTCGACCTTGCCATTTGTATATTCCAGTACGCCAATTTACCTGCGGGTTCCACTTTCGCAGCCAGGGTTGCCCTAGGATGATATCGTATCTCAAATTATCAACGACGACTCCCGTTTCTCTCATTACCTCGTCGCCCATACTGAGAGCAAGAGTAGCCGTGGTTGACGAGACAGAGCTTTGGCCACGAGCCATCAGGATCCTGACTGGTTTAGGTAAGGGTAGTAAACGGTAGTCTTCCTTCTTGAGATCCCTTATGAATTCAGAGCAGACGAAGTTACCGGAAGCACCGGAGTCGATCAGCACGCGTGCCCCTAAGGTTCCGACCTTTGCGCGTACTTCGTGCACCGGCCGGTTCAACTCTTTATAATTTTCTGGGGTATTGCCATTCTTTAGGTGATAGGACTGTAAAATATACGATGAAGAATTGCGACCTTTATTGCCAGGGCAGTACTCTATTCTATGTCCAGGGATCCCACAACCGTAGCATCGCGGCTTACTTCTATCTGGACAGTTTGCTTTGATATGGCCGTTCTTGCCACAGTGGAAGCACTTTCGACCCTCACTATGCTGGCGAGTCTGCATGGCCGCAACCTCAAGCTCTTCCTCCGTGAAACGCTGCCGGACATGGTCCAAATCCATGGACATGTCTGGCGCACTTGGCACACTGGACCTGGGGGCGCCGGCATTAGTACTAGCGAAGGACTGCGACCTAAACCCAAGGTTACGACTGCCATGGACTGGGTTTCCCCCCGCATGGCCACTGGTGAGGGATCTGAAGGCCGACAGGTCTTGATCCTTCAAGGCAATCTTGTGAGTGAAGGTCTCGAGCGAATCCTCAGGCCTCATGATATCAACAAGTTTGTTTCGGATATATTGTGGGAGTTTTCTGGCTAACTCCAACTTCTTGTCCATTGTAGACTTGTCATGGATTTTGTTGGCTAACGCTACGTATCTGCTCATGAAGCTGATTAGGGCCTCGTCTTTCTCCATCTTTAGCCCGTCTAACTGGGCCCTCAGGTTCTGTGAAAGATGGGTCTGCGTCCATCTCTTAACGAAGTCTTCCTTGAACGCATCCCAACCGATGTCTTCGCCCTTGTCATCGATATATTGGAGGGCCCACGACAGAGCACCTCCCTTGAGGATGGTGACAAAACTGGGAACTTTCTTGTTGTCCGGCCACGTCTGACTCCGGAACTGCAGCTCGATGAACTTGAGCCAAGCATCAAGGTCGAAGGCGACTTCGTGCCCCGAGAAAGTAGAGGTCTGAGCGGCAAACTGCGGGGCTGGCCTGTGAGGGTCCAGCCATCGGCTTACTGCCGGGGGCGCTGGTGCTGAGGCCAATTGATTATTGGCGAACTCGAGCTGCCTAGTGAGCTCCTCGACTCTTCGCGCGAGCTCCTCACTCGAGGCCTGCTGCAACTGTTGCTGACGCTGTGCAAATATCTCTGCTGCATCCATTTCTGCCGTGGTATAACTTGATTCCGATTCTGTATCACTTGGTGGGCTAAAAACCACCATAAACTATTTGTAAACTGTGTAACCGAATTACGGACAAATAACTGTGGACAAATAAAACTGTTGACAAATAAAAACTGTGCGACCAAAAAAAAACTGTGGACTGATCGTTGATTATTGGGCTCGTTAAGACCGTGGTGCCTTTGCTACCATTGAAAAAATCACTGTCTTAAGAACCGGGGGGTTATACTGAGATGCCCTTAAAAACCGCAACGAGACGCAAATACATAGAACACACTGAAGTGTTGTACCAAGATAAAGGTCTTTATTAGTTTATGATACATATAATACTATACAAGTAACTAGTGCTGAGATGAATGAGGTTGCATACCTGAAGTGTTGTACCAAGATAAAGGTAAGGAACACTTCAGGGACGGAGAGTCCACTATTTATTATAGCGGGGAGGATCGGGTGGCTGAGCTCACGTCCAGGCAGGACGGGGTGGGTTTGAGGGTACCACTATAGGTATACCTCTGGTCCTACCTACCATGACGTCACTTGTTATAGGACGTGAGCTTAAGTTGCCTCGATTTAGGACAACAATGTCGTAGAGCATCTACTAGTGATCTCTGGAAACTAGTAGGTAATGATGAAAAATGAAGAATTGGGCAAGAGCCTCGTGGTTTTGGGATACGATAGTGATCCTAAGTAATGCTTTGAATGATTTTGAGGATGCTGCAAAAGGGCATCGATAATAAGAAGAGAGATCTTTAATAACTGCTAATTTTCTGAGAATTCATAATGAGAATAATGAAGATAAACTCACCTGCAAAAGGGCATCGATAATAAGAAGAGAGATGCCGTTTTTGCAGTGAAGGAAAAAGCTACTTAAATACTATTTAAAAATGGTAGAAAATAGGATGATAGGAAATAAATAAATTGAAAGGAAATACATATTTAGGTAAATGAATAGGCGTCATTTACGACAACAATGTCCTAAATCGAGGCAACTTAAGCTCACGTCCTATAACAAGTGACGTCATGGTAGGTAGGACCAGAGGTATACCTATAGTGGTACCCTCAAACCCACCCCGTCCTGCCTGGACGTGAGCTCAGCCACCCGATCCTCCCCGCTATAATAAA